GAGGGGAAAGGAAATAGAAATGATGTCGTTTACCATGTTTCTAATGTGTTTATTTGCTCTGTAGTAAGCAGTCCAGTCTTATTTACTGACCCCCTAACAGTGTTTCTAGAGCACATAGCTGACTGCTGTGAGGTTCATTGATATTGAAGGTGCTTGTGGTGGTTTGTCAAGACAGTCCTGGTGGTGCCTCTGTGCGCACTTTACATCTCAAGCCCCTGACTCAAGAAGTATGCTAGAAAATATGGTCATATGGTGGAATTCTCAAGACAGATTTTAAAGAACAGACACTGTCTGGGGTGAGTCGTGACAATTACCACAAAGGTTGCCGATTTGAAGTCACACCAAAATGCCTCAGAAGACAGGCCTGATGATTTGTTTCTGAAAGATCACAGCCTGCAGTGGTTCTCAACCTGTGGGTCGCGACCCGTTTGGAGGTCGAAATGACCCTTTCACAGGGATGACTCAATTCATAGCGGCGGAAAAATTCCAGTTCTGAAGTAGCAACCAAAATAATTTTACTGTGGGGGTCACCACAGCATGAGGAACTGTATTAGAGGGTCGCGGCATGAGGAAGGTTGAGAACCGCTGCTAGGAGTAGTTATGCTTTGCGCACATGGGGTCCTGATTCAGAAAAATCCCCTCCTTGTGCACCAGCACCACCTGCAACAGTGGGCCCAGCGCCGGAGGGGAGCAAACTGATGAAGTCAGTAGTGAAACCCGGAACACGAGAAGAAAATGGGCGGTAAAGCATGTATCATTTACCTGGGAAATTCCAAGAAACGAGCAGATGCTGAATAGAAATACTGAGAAAATGATACAAAGCAAACAGAGCTGCCCTCAATAAGAATAACTAGGGCTTCTCATTGTTTCTTTTGGTTCGGTCCCCTGCTAATAATTTGCATTTTCACCCCAGGTATACTGAATGGGAATCTACCTTTTAACAAGATCCCCTCCCCAGGTGATTCTTGAGAATATTTAAGAATACGTATACATATCAATCCCCTGGTGAGCTTGTGAAAATGTAGATGAGAATCCGTACCCCTGGGGTGAAAATGCAAGTCCAGTTCAAAGCCCTGAAAGTAACTCACAGGTGCTGAGGCCAAAAAGCCTAGAAACAGCTGCAGCCAAAAAGCATCCAAGAAACAGCTGCGGCCAAAAAGCACTGAGAAACAGCTGAGGAACAGCTACGCCAGTCCTTCCAGACATGTGACTCACTGAGCTCAGCGCAGCAGCCTCACTATGGAACTCATTAGAAAAGCAACCAGTCGGTCCTGCCCCAGATTGCAGGAGGGTGTGTCAAGCAATCTGTGTTAACAACACCCAGGTGGCTGGAAGGCACACTAAAGTTTAAGAGTCACAAATCTAGAATTTCTCTGGAAATGTTAACCTCCGTCTTCAACTGGAGTTGTCATCGCTGCCTTTACAAAGCGAGATGGCTAGAAAAGGAGTCCTAGTTTGATGCCACCCTCTGCTTGCTAGGAAAAAGATGTGGCTCTCTGCTTCTGGGAAGAGGGATACCCAGGGAGCCACTGTGGAGCAGGTCTGCTCTGGCCTATCAAGTCACTACGAAGCAGAAGGTACTCAGAGGCACTGGGTTTGCCTTGGGTTTGGGGAATTGTTAATATGACCGATGTAGAAACATGACTTTTCATTTACCCTTAAAAAAGAAAAATCTAACGTTCTGGGTGGCAAGCATCCTGATTTCTTCTGCCCTTCAAATTACGTAGGAGTGGTAAGCAAATCACTTCTAAGAAAATCAATGAATAAAAAAATTATTTAGTACTGGCAACCAAACAAAAGTATAATGATAGATCTACTGCCCTCCAATAGTTTACATATAGGATCCCTGGTAACATAGTGGGTTACACATTTGGCTGTTAACCACAGGGTCTGCAGTTCGAAACCACCAGCCGCTCCACAGGAGAAAGGTGAGGCTTTCCCCTCCTTTAAAAGCATTCTGTCTTGGAATCCCAAAGGTGCAGTACTATGTACTATGAGTCAACATTGGCTCGATGGCAGTAAGTGTGGTTTTGGTATATACACATACATTAAAAAAATAGAAAAAGCAGCACTGCCATTCAGTTGATTCTAACTCACAGCATAGGGCTTTCAATACTGGAAATCTCAAAGAAGATTTACAAAGGAGCAGGCAGCCTCATCTCTTCCTTGAGGAACGACTAATGGTTTTGGACTGTGGAGTTTATGATGAGGCACCCTATCCATGGTGCCACTGGGACATTAGTCTGTATTTGAGGAAACGATTCCTATGAGTCAGAGGTAAGACAGGCCTCCATTCTCCATCTGCCTTTATTCTATTCTGACATCATTGCAATGGCCACACAGAGCTCACAGACAAAACTCACCTTTATGGGCATTCATTAGGGAAGTTAACAAGGATCAGAATCATTAATGATACAGTCCTCTTGTCCTCAGCAGCGCATCTTCTCAGCCATGCTGAAAGGAAGGTCTTCTGCTGGTCCTTCGCCTTTCAGCTACATAGTCTTGTGGCCCTTGCCCTAATCAGGCTGGTGCTACAAAGCTAGGCACCCCACCCTGCAATCCAGCCCCGAACCCAAAGGCCCTCAGGTTTACCCTGGGTGGGATGTGCCGCTGCCTCGTGGTCTCAGCATGACTCCTGTGCACTGTCTATAGGCTCAGTGAGGCTCTTCTGCAATGTGTCCTAGTGTTGGTGCTGTAGCTTCGGAGATCTCTGGTACTCCTGCTACTTCAGGCAGAGGTCTCCCCATGCACTCCGCTGGCGGCTCTTCTTTATGAATGGTCATGGGTTTCTCCTGTCCCTCTTCTTTCTTGATGGTCATGGAATTTTGTGATGGCTCGTTGTTTTTATACACAGCAAAATTGACCATTCCCCAAGTTATAGTCCACTCACATGCTCCCACCCAATCACTCCCTGACTCACTACATCGAGTTAATGCTGACGCATAGTGACTCCCTGTGGGTTTGCGAGACCGTAACTGTGTATGGGAGTAGAAAGCCCAGTCCTTCTCTTGTGGGGTTGCTGGGGATTTCACACTGCCAACCATATGGATTGCAGCCCACCTGGTAACCACTACACCACCAGTCACTGGGTGGGAGTGAAAATCTATGGACAGAAGGGCCATCGCAAGTTGTTTCACTTCACTGCAAGAGTACTTTAAAATGATCATTTGACCAGTTTCCACAAATGAACATAGCTACTCTAACAAGAGTTCAATTGACATGAATGTAATAGCCATGACCTCTAAGTTCAGGCTTTCACCTTCCTGTCCTAAGTTATAGATAGCTCCCAAAGCTATTAAAGGATAGCTCATGTAAGAAAACAATAACATATAAGAAGTATACATCATATTTTATCATGTTCCATTTTACTTATATGATTTATATTTAAACAGTGGCATAAACTAAAAGAAAATTAACAACGAGCCATGTGTGGCGAATCCTTTTTTCCTGATAAGATTGTATGATCATAACACTGAGCCTTTAAAGATAATAACTTCCGTTTGAGGACGAGTGCCGTTATGAGCTCAACTCCGCAACCGGCAATCTTACTGTGATACGTGGATTATTTGAGCATATTGATCATTACCATTATGGTTCATGATGAATGGTTCTTTGAATCCAAGTTATCTTAGTGTACTTTTCTAAACCAAATTAATGACTTATAGTCACAAAGACTAGTAAACCCACCTTGATAGCATTCTGATTTTATTAAATGACCACAGGATACTCAACTAACTGTCATGAAGTCAATGCCAACTCATAGTGACCCTACCGGGCTGGGTGGAATAACCCCTGTGAGTTTCCAAGATTATATCTGTTTCCAAGATTGTAACTGTTTACAGGAGTAGAAAGCCACATCTCTCGCCCACAAAGAAGCTGATCGTTTCGAATGGGGGACCTTGCAGTGAGCAGCCAACAGCCACAATACCAGGGCTCCTGGTCACAGGATACTAGACACTGAAAATTTGCTCTTAATTACTTCTCCTTTATAATCTCTCTATCTTGGCATAAAACATATTAAAAGGTATTTTAGTATTCATAAGCCTAATGATAGTGTTTTCATTATAACTTTGAATTAAGTAAAAATTGTTTATAATTTTTAATACTACTTTTAATATAGAATATTCTTATACAATGCAAAATGTATATTAAGGATGTACTGTTTATGTTGTGGACAAAGTAAAAACTTATCTAGGAATAATGTAACTTTTTTTGATTGATTGATATGCAACTTTAAAAAACAATCTTATAATGGTAGTTTTTAGGCTTGCTTATTCCTAAAAGTTGCTCTATTTGTTTAACACATATTTTGAAAGTTAGAGTTTATTACTGTTCTCCTTGGGTGTCTTAATTTAAATAAAAAGAAAAAACAAAGCCTGCACTCAGACTTCGCTTTTTCTATCCTGGGGAAATGGACATATATACCTAATTTTTCAAATATTGGGAAAGGGAGATAAAAATCTTTGAAACTTTCTCTAAACTGTCTTTTCCCCTCCTTTGTTACAGGTATCTGTCTTTCAGGTATAATAATCTCTTGAAACAAACAAAAATGGATTTCTTAAACCTGTCCGATCATAACTTGACATCAGAAGAACGGCTACAGGGAATGCCATCTAAAATTCTGGTGTCCGTCACTCTCTCCGGGCTGGCACTGATGACAACGACCATCAACTCTCTTGTGATAGCAGCAATCATTGTGACCCGGAAGCTGCATCACCCAGCCAATTATTTAATTTGTTCCCTGGCAGTCACAGATTTTCTTGTCGCTGTGCTGGTGATGCCGTTCAGCATTGTGTACATTGTGAGAGAGAGCTGGATTATGGGACAAGTCGTGTGTGACATTTGGCTGAGTGTTGACATGACCTGCTGCACCTGCTCCATCTTACATCTCTCTGCTATCGCTTTGGATCGGTATCGGGCAATCACAGATGCTGTGGAGTATGCCAGGAAAAGGACTCCCAAGCATGCTGGCATTATGATAACGGTGGTGTGGATTATATCTGTTTTTATCTCAATGCCACCTCTGTTCTGGAGACACCAAGGAACAAGCCGAGAAGATGAGTGCATCATCAAGCATGACCACATTGTTTCTACTATCTATTCAACATTTGGGGCTTTCTACATCCCACTAACCTTGATTTTGATTCTGTACTACAAAATATATAGAGCAGCAAAGACATTGTACCACAAGAGACAAGCCAGTAGGATTGCCAGAGAGGAGCTGAATGGCCAAGTTCTCTTAGAGGGGGGTGAGAAAAAAACGAGACTGGTCTCTACACCCTACATTCTAGAAAAGTCTTTATCTGAGCCATCAACAGACTTTGATAAAGCTCATAGCACGGTGAAAAATACTAGGTCTGAATTCAAGCATGAGAAATCTTGGAGACGGCAAAGGATCTCCGGCACAAGGGAACGCAAAGCAGCCACCACCTTGGGGTTAATATTGGGTGCATTCGTAATATGTTGGCTTCCTTTTTTCGTAAAAGAACTGGTTGTTAACGTTTGTGAGAAATGTGAAATTTCTGAGGACATGTCAAATTTCTTGACATGGCTTGGATATCTGAATTCCCTTATAAATCCACTAATCTATACAATCTTTAATGAAGACTTCAAGAAAGCATTCCAAAAACTTGTGCGATGTCGGTATTAGTTGTTAAGAAACACTGTGGAAGGATTGGTTTTCGTGTGGGGGAAAATAACTAAATGAATGCTTAATGATAAAGCTTTTAAACTTCTGAAAAGAAATATATTAAAACTGATAAAATAATGAAAATATAATTTTTGAATAGCTACAAGAATACAAATTTTATTGATTTAACGATATTTATTTTTACCATCATTCTAGGGTACTCAGAATTAGGAAATAATTTTAAACAGAATATAAACAATATTTTCCCTTGGCAATATTCCTAAATAGCTGGTTGAGACACACACACACACACACACACACACACACACACTATGACTAATGATAGTGATTTTATTATGTTTTGTCTTACAAGTACAGATAAATTCTTAAGTTGCAGCATACCTCTAATGATTTCTATATAATCCTATTATTTTATTATATAATTTTGTTATCTTTAATAGAGATTGCAAATTCACCACAAAGCACATATTTCTCCTATTTAACTTCTCTTACTCTCTCTTCATTTTACCCTTGGGTAAACAGGAAAGGAAAATATAATATTTACTTCAGAGTTGTATGACTGGAGTAAATATGAAAGTCTGGAATTGGTTATTAGTAAAGCCCTGGTGGGCATAGTGGTTACATGTTGTGCTGCTAACTGTAAAGATCAGCAGTTCAAAACTACCAGCCTCTTCAAGGGAGAAAGATGAGGCTTTCTACTTTTTTTTCCCCCCCAAATAAATCATTTTATTGGGGAATGTAACAGCTCTTATAACAATCCATAGATCAATTGTATCAAGCACATGTATACATATGTTTCCATCATCAATTTCAAAATATTTTCTTTCTGTTTAAGCCCTCGGTATCAGCTCCCCTTTTTTCCTCCCCCACCCTGCCACCCTCCTGGACTGCTGATAAATTATAAATTATTATTATTTTAATATCTTACACCGCCCACTGTCTCCTTTTGTCATGTTACTGTTGTTTGTCCCCATGGGGGGGGGGGGCAGTTATACATCATTGTATTTGGTTCTCCATTTCTCCCCCTTGTCCCCCTACCTTCCCCCTACCCTCATGGCATAGCCACTCCCACTGCTGTTCCTGAGGGGTTTATCTGTCCTGGATTCCATGTGTCGAGAGCTTATATCTGTACCAGTGTACATGCTCCAGTCTAGCCGGATTTGTAAGGTAGAACTGGAGTTAAGATGGGGTGAGGGAGGGGCGGAGCTTTAAGAATCAGAAGAATGTTTGTGTTCCATCGGTGCTGTGCTGCACCCGGGCTGTCTCATTCTTTCCTTGTGACCCTTCTGTGAGGGAATGTCCAATTATCTACAGATGAGCTTTGGGTCTCGACAGTACCCCCATCATTTGTATCAATATATTTTTTGGTTTGGGATCTTCTGATGTCTGATACCATATTCTGTCGACACCTTGTGATCACACAGGCTGGTGTGCTTCTTCCACATGGGCTTTGTTGCTTCCCGGCTAGGTGGCCACTTGTTTAGCCTCAAACCTTTAAGACCCCAGATTCTATATCTATTGATATCCAGGCACCATCAGCTTACTTCACCACATTTGCTTATTCACCCATTTTGTCTTCAGCGATTGTGTCGGGAAGGTGAGCATCACAGAATGCCAGGTTATTAGAGCAACGTGTTCTTGTATTGAGGGAGTACTTGAGTAGAGATTCAATGTGTGTCTGCTACCTTACTGCTTAACATTTAAATATATGTATCTAGACCTATAACCCTATCATTTTATGTTAATGTATTTACATATATGCATGCCTAAATTTATGCCCCTCTGTCTTTTGCCTCCTAGTTCTTTCCTCTATTTCTTTATATTTTCTTCCTGTCCCACTATCATGTTTGACTTTCATTCAACTCTCAGTGCTTTCTCTCAGCTACTTTGCAAATGAACAAACACCACCAGGCCCTCTCTCCCCTCCTCCCCATCGATTTTAGATTGCTTATTGTTCCCTTGTTCCTGGGTTTGTTGGGCGATTTGCTACTTGCATAGGGAGTTACAGTGTAGGAAACCCACAGTGGCAGTTCTACCCCTTCTTAAAGTCACTATTAGTGAGAATTGACTACATCGCAGTGAAGGAGATTTTAAGTGAATTACAGACTTCAGAATAATTTTGGACACTGAGCTACTTAACATATTCTGTTGTTTTAATATAAATTCCCCAAAGAATATTTCCTTAACCATATGATATCAATATTTAAAATCAGAGGCTTACCCTAATAGCAATAACTCAAAGGGAAGAGGGAGGAAAGTAGGATTTTATAGTTGATCTGTATTTAATTAGGATTCAAAGTGAAGACATTATGCATCCTAGAGAAGAGCCCATATGAAATTAAGACATTAAGTATCCTAGATTACAGACCAGATTTATTATAGTCTGTATAATAATTTATTATACATTATATAATAATGTATTGAAATTCAAATAGAATTAATGGCTGTTTATGTTAATAACTAATGACAATGCCTATGGTACGTTGAACTTGATTTGAATGACTTCCTTTTTATTAGTCATAATGTGATAGAAACTTTTCAAACTTTCCACTAACTTCAAAAACACTATCCCCAGAGACCAGTCTCTTGAAATGAATCTCATGCTTGGTAAAGCAGATGGGCAGCGAAACAGAGGAACTCCCTCAAAGAGATGGATTGACACAGTGGCTGCAACAATGAGCTCAAGCACAGAAACAAACGTGAGGCTGGCACAGGGCGGGGCGGGGCTTTGTTCCGTTGGGCACCTACTCAACGGCACCTAACAGCAACAGCGCTGCTAATCCAGGGAATCCAGGATTACCACTGGGAATCCAGGACAAATAAACCCCTGAAGACCATTAGTGAGAGTACTGATGACAGGAGGGGAAGGGGAAGGTGGGGGAGAAAAAGGGAGCCGATCACAATCTTCTACATATAACCCCCTTCCTGGGGGACTGACAACAGAAAAGTGGGTAAAGGGAGACATTGGACAGTGTAAGACATGAAAAAATAATACTAATTTATAAATTATCAAGGGTTCATGAGAGATGGAGGTGGGGGAGGGAGAGGAAAAAATGAGGAGCTGATACAAGGGCTCAAGTAGAAAGAAAATGTTTTGAGAATGATGATGGCAACAAATGTACAAAAGTCCTTGATACAATGGATGAATGGATGGATGGATTGCGATAAGAGTTGTATGAGCCCCCCCAAAATGATTTTAAAAAAGAAGTATTTTGCAGCAGATTGACCCAATGCAGTATATTTTTTTATTTCTTGTTCAGTGAAATTCTTTACTTGTATCCATAATCAATACAAGTAAATTATGATTACAAGTGAAATGAAATCCTTGCCAGTCTTTTCTCTATTTATCATGCTATTTCTTATCAGTTCAATGGTGGGGATTTATTTTTTATTTATATTGAGCTGTAACCCATGGTCCACAAGGTCAGCAGTTCAAAAATCACCAACCACTCAAGAGAAAGATGAGGTCTCATGAAGAGTTATAATCTCAGAAACCCACAGGGGCAGTTCTACTCTCTTCTATAAGGTTGCTTTGTAGGGTTGATTAGTAGTGTCCTTAGTACTTATCCTTGCATCACCCTTCCCTATAATCGGGTTGCTCTGAGTTGGCATCGACTGCATGGCACTGAGTGAGTGAGTGACAATCCAATCCATAATGCAGGCTGTAGTCTGTGATCTTCATCAGCAAGTCCTTCAACCTAACTTTGCTTTCAGCAAGCAGTTATATCATACACGTGCCACAGGTTGCTAAGAAGCCTTCCTTCCTTCCTTATCCTATGTTTTCTTCATATAGTCCAGCTTCTTGGATTGTCTGCTTCATTTACACATTGAACAAGTTTCATAAAAGGATGCAACCTGAGGCACATCTTTCCTGATTTAAACCACTCAGCATTCCCTTGCTTTTTTTCATTTTTTCCCAATGTTTTCCTAATTTTCTTAGTTTCATTGCGATATGATTAATTATATCATGAACTTCCATAGTTCAGCCATACTTAAGATTAGTTGTATAGACATTTTCACAATCATTTCTGTAACATCTTCCCCCTCTTTTATACTCATTGTGTGCTCCTCATTATCCTCCAACATCTCCCATCCATGTCCTTGATAAGCCATTGCACCAATTGTCTCTATACATCCATCCATTCTGTGCTTCACACAGTGGGAAATATACAAAACAGAAACAGAAGGAATGAAGAGAACGAGGGAGAGAAAGGGGAAGGGAAGGAGACAGGACCACTGGAAATATTTACATGAACCAGAAAAAAATTTCTGTTGAAAAAAAAGCAAGAAACATTTAAAACTAGAATAGATCCAAAATGAGCTGAGCCAAGAAGGAAGATCAAATGACCAACTATCACATTGTAACCTAGTTCCAACTGCCATAATCTAATTGACAATATTTTCATAGTCTCTGTCTGATATCAAGGTTGTTTGTGTCCCTCAACTCTGTTCAGAGGGGATCCACCAGAGGCTTAATTCATGCGGAAACTGCAGATGGATTATGGGCTCCCATTGCCATTCATAGGCTTCTGAAAATTGGGTGTACAGAATTTAAGCTTTGATACCTTCTCTTCCTTTGTATTTATCCTTGGATCACACGCGCTGGTGTGCTTCTTCCATGTGGTTTTAGTTAATGCTTCACCTTTAGTTAATAGCTGCTTATTCCAGTACAAGCTTTTAAGACCTCAGACACTATTCTGTTTGATAGCCGGGCACCACTTGCTTTTTTCACCATATTAGTGACATTGCTGGATCACATGGGATTTCCATTCCCAGTTGTTTTTAGGTTTCCATAGTCATTATATATATTTACAAGTCCACCAAAAATGTATATGTGTTCCATTCTCTCCACATCTTCTGTAGCATTCGTTGTTTTCTGTTGTTTTGTTTTTTTAATTGAGAATCCCTTGTTCTGTTCAAAGAACTGCATAAGCCAGGCTCTGCATGAGCACAATTAAATGTTGTGGAATTCCAGTTCTGCACAATGCTACCCATAGTTTGTTATA